AGTAAGTTTTTATTATTATTTTTTATTTATATTATTATATGGTTACAGATATTTAGTTGAAAACTGCCAGCAATTTATACACATGATAAATTTATTCAATCTCCTTATTTAAAAAGATTTATAAAAAAAATTATACTTGTTTTACATTTTACATAATTACAGAAGAAAATAATTTCATATCTCTCAGAACTATATATATGTTTATATATACATATATTACATTTATTGTTTCTATATGTAGTGTTTGTATTTCTTTTGTATATATATATATATATATTATAACCATGTCCGAATATGACTTGGATTAAATTATAGTATAGCTTTTTTGCTTAAACATGTATATAGATTTAAGTAAGTATGTAAATTTCACTTCATATCTTGTTTTACATAATTATATTGAAACATTAGTTTTATATTATCTTTTAAATCGTGTTGAAGCATCATCAAATGATTTCCATTAAATCATATATTGCAAAGGGAATTAAGCGATAAAGGAAGCTCTCCGCAACGCAGTGCGTATTCGTAATATTTGAATTATGATTCAGATTAACATTGCTTTCTCCCTTTCTCTATATTTTTCTCCCTCTTATTTTGCCTTTTTCTTTTAGCACAATGGGATTAACTTTCATTTTAAGTGATTAAATCAAATGTCAAATGTCAAATGGGAGACCTAAATGGGAAATGTAAATGCAGCTGCAAAAAGAAATTTGATCCGCAGCTTTGGAACGTCACATTCTATAAAAAAAAATAAAATAAAAAACAAAAACAGGGAGGCCGGAAAAACTAAAAGATTATTAAAATAAAGATGTCTTTTGTGCATGTTTGTGCGTATGCTACATAATTTATTGTTTTTGATTAGCTTTCAACCCTCTTGTGGTTGGTAAATCCAAAAAGGTGTCCGAAAAAACCACAAAAAATTAAGCGCCGCCCACTGAATGCGTGTGCGTACTTAAAGAAGAAGAAGCAGCCAACAGCAAAATTGAAAGCCAACGAATGGCAGACAACTAGAAAAGCTTTTCAATTAAGGCGACCTCGTCGCGCTGACGTCACGCACATATATTGCTCGGTTCTGCGTGGGCGCTTCACTAGAGCTTTGCCGTTTAGCCAAGACGCAAACCAAACGCCATGCCGGCGTGCAGCTTTCATTGAATTGGGCGCAACAGGAACAAGCAATGCAAACAACGTTCAAGTTGAAACCGTTTGCCGAATATGTTTGGTGTTCGGCAGGCGGCAAGCGAAGTCGTAGCGTATAAAACAAGTCGTCGTCGTCGTTATCGTTGCATTCGTATCGTGCGCGTCGAACCAGTGAACCAACCAACCCAACCAGCGCTCTACGCCAACTAACGGTTAAAGAACACAGTTTTTGAAATCAAACAAGCCAAAAAAATTAAATAAAGAAATAAAAAAACTAATGACCTCTCTATTTCTTGTTCGAGTGTTTTTCTTATCAGAAAAAAAGAGTTTCAACAATAATTCGCCTTTTTCTGTTGCAATTTAATTGACAAAGTTTTAAGAATTTAGCGCTGTGCGTGTTTCCAACATTGACTTGTCTGACAAATTTCGATTACAGTTAGAATTTTCAGTGCACATAAGACAAAAAACAAATTCAAGTTTATCAATTCGTCGCATCGCGCTATAAACGGTAAACGTGCGTTAATCTAATTTGTATTTAATCTATTTGCCATCGCTGAAAAGTAACAACAGCCAGGTGAGTTTTCTTTACTTCATTTTTTTATGACAATTTTAAGCACTGTTTGTAAAAATATAATTTAAAAAGCCATTAAATTTATGATAAATTAATTTTGAGAAAAAATTGACTTGATAAAAATGTAAGGCTAAATTTATGTTTCAACACGTTTTCGAGCGCTTTTAATACGGTTCCTAAAAACCTGTCTCTTAATATATTGTAAACTTTATTTTGATACAAAATGTCATATACTTATATGTATATAAATATATGAAATTCAACATTGAAATAGTTGAAATAATAGGAAAAATACAGTTAACTTTTTTCAACAACTATTTTGGTATTTTATAATTGTCAAATTAAAAAAAGAATATTATTTATCATATATTATTTATTAGTTAGTTATTTATAAAAGTATAGTAAGAGAAG